TAACCTGTTCATGTTTGCACATGCTTTTTATCTGTATATCTATTTATGTTCCAGGATGAATTGGCTCGTCCTAGGCGTCGTCTTAGGGCTTGGCTGTTTATGCCAAGGTGTCGGTAAGCATGGAACAGGACTCTTCTTTCTTGTATTTAATATGATTCGTTCATAAATTTCAAAGCTCATGTAAATGCTGACGTTATACCTCTGGTGTTCATTCTATTGTGTGGTGACATATATGCAGAACTTTTTTTTACACATGTAGGTAAATTTAGTTACTACTATTTAGCCTATATCTTTGCGCGAGTAACCCCTGTCTACACACACACACACACACTCACACACACACACACACACACACACACACACACACACACACACACACACATGCATACACACAACGCAGATAAGCACACACACGTTTAAACGGAAATACGCAAATACTCCAGTCAAAGAGACGCAGCAAGAAATATCTAGCTTTTCATTTCCCACAAGCTTCCTTTAGGTCACTGCCTCTAAGGTCAGCACACTCTGTCCCTCCAGTAAGACCTTCAGACAGAGCCAATAAATCTAGCGAACAACATATCATCTTTCCCTCACGCAACCTTCACCTCACACTGTCCCTCCAAGAAGACATCCAAGCGATCCAATAACTTTGGCGAACGATGAACCTCCATCGCCCTTTCTCTCCCTTTCTTCCCCCGTGCGTTCCCCGCCGCGGCCGACCCCTTCCGTCCAGCGCGCGACGAGGCGGAGGGACGCATCATCGCCGCCTTCTCCACCAAGACGGCCTTCACCTTCACCACGTCCACCACCACCGTGCCCTACACATGCATCTCGGGCGCCCTCCCCACCGCCGTCTGCACCAAGAGGCGGCTGCGGCGAACGGCCCCCATCGGCGACCTCAGGGCCGGCGCCGAGTACGTTTTGCTCCCATTTCCGGATTTCCTCGTCGCTTCTTTTCTTTTTTTCTTCTCCAGCTTTACTTCTCTTCTTCTTTGTATTTTTCTTCTCACCTTTCTTTCTTTTCTTTTCTTTTCGTTTTTTTTCTGTGTTTCTTTTCATTTTCCTCCAGCTTTACCTCTCTTCTTTTTAGTGTTTTTCTTCTACCTCTTCTTGTTTTATTTTCTTCTCGTTTTTTTCTGTTTCTTGTCATTTTCTTCCAGCTTTACTTCTCTTCTTCTTCGCGTTTTCCTTTTTTTTTCTCTCTTTCTACTTTTTTTATTTTCTCGTTTTTTTTTTTCTATGTTTCTTTTTATGTTCCTCCAGCTTTATCTCTATCCTTCGTGATTTTCTTTTACCTCTCTTACTACCTTTTCTTTCGTTCATCTGTTTTTTTTTCTGTTTCTTTTAATTTTCATCCATCTTTACCTCTCTTCTCCTTCGTGTTTTTCTTTTACCTCTCTTTCTACCACTTCTTGTTTTATTTTCTCCTCGTTTTTTCTGTTTCTTTTATTTTCCTCTAGCTTTACCTATCCTTTTCTTTGCGCTTTCTGCTACCTCTCTTTCTACCTTTTCTTATTTTTTATTTTCTTCTCGTTTTTTTCTGTGTTTCTGTTCATTTTTCTCCAGCATTACCTTTCGTCTTGTTTTTCTTGTTCCTCTCTTTCTACTTTTTTCTTTTCTATTTTCTTCTCGTTTTTTTCTGTTTCTTTTCATTTTCCTCCAGCTTTACCTTTCGTCTTGTTATTTCTTGTTCCTCTCTTTCTACTTTTTCTTTTTTTTTATTTTCATCTCGTTTTTTCTCTGTGTTTCGTTAATACCCTTTCATTGTGATGGCTTATAAGAATCACTGCAGTTAATTAAAAAAAAAATGATGAAAGAACACTACGAAGTTCTCTTTCCTTTTCTTTAAGAATATGAGTATCCCCAATCACTGTATAAGGAAGGGAAACTAACTTACCTTATCTCTTGGCAGTATGGTGCTGGATAGCTCGATGGATACGGACCTCGCCACAGAAACGGAGCAGGAACGAGAAGCAAGAATCGCCCTCACATTCTGGTCGACCTTGTCCTCGACCTTCACCATCACCTCGACCTCCACGAACTCCGCCACCACCTTCTCCATCTCCTTCTACTGCACAATAGCGGGAGCCAATTACCCCCCTGCTTGCGGTTAAGGACTCTGCCTGAGGAAGGGGTGTAGACAAGGGCCGTCTCTGAGATATGTGAATGTGGACATCCCACCTCCCCGGAATTTTATCAGCTGTGCTATACGCTATCTCTCTCTCTCTCTTACTCTCTCTCTCTCTCTCTCTCTCTCTCTCTCTCTCTCTCTCTCTCTCTCTCTCTCTCTCTCTCTCTCTCTCGCTCGCTCGTTCGCTCTCTCTCTTCTTACTCTCTCTCTCTCTCTCTCTTTCTTAATCACTTTCTCTAAAAAAAAAATCCTCCTTCATAAAACAGGTCTCAGTAGACAGCTTATGTTTGCGCTCGAATGATGAGCAACTTATTTATTCATGTTACATTTTGTACAGGGGTCAGTTATGTAAATACGCAATTAAAGCTTTATCATATTTCAACTAGATTTCTATTGACCAAACATATGATAAACATATATATGTACATGCATATATACATATATATAATATATATATATATATATATATATATATATATATATAATATGTTATATATATGTATATATATACATATATATATATATACATATATATATATATATATATATATATTATATATAATATGTATATTATATATATATATATATATATATATATATATATATATATATATATATATATATATATATATATATATATATATATATATATATGTATATATATATATATATATATATATATATGTATATATATATATTATTATATTATATATATATGCATAATTAAAGATGCATATATATGTATATATATGTATCTCTCTCTCTCTCTCTCTCTCTCTCTCTCTCTCTTCTCTCTCTCTCTATATATATATATATATATATATATATATATATATATATATATATATATATATATATATATATATATATATATATATATATATGTATATATATATATTATATATATATATATATATATATATATATATATATATATATGCATAAATATAGATGCATATATATATATATATATATATATATATATATATATATATATATATATATATATATATATATGTGTGTTGTGTGTGTGTTGTGTGTGTGTGTGTGTGTGTGTGTGTGTGTGTGTGTGTGTGTTGTAAATATATATATGTATATATTATATATATATATATATATATATATATATACATATACAGTATATATACATATATATATAATATATATATATATATATATATATTATATATATATATATATACACAGTATATATACATAAAACCTGCACACACATATATTAACATATATATAGACATATACATACATATATATATATATATATATATATATATATATATATATATATATATATATATATATGAGGGCGTGGTAGCCAGGTTCGAGGGTACGAGTCCCCCGACTAGCGCGTTGTTCCCTTAGGCAAGGAACTTTACCTTGATTGCCCATTGTTAAAGCCACCTGAAGGGCAAGCCAGCCTTTGTAGGTGCCGGTCCCAAGCCCGGATAAATAGAGAGGGTTGGTGTCAGGAAGGGCATCCGACTGTAAAATACCCAATGCAAAAGCGATATGGAATGAGATGTAATAGGACATCAAATGAGGCGGCTCATCCATAAAGGAGACCCCATATAGAAATGGGAGAAAGCTGAGAGAGAGAAAAAAAATATATATATGTATATATATATATATATATATATATATATATATATATATATATATATATATATATATATATATACATGTGTGTTTGTGTGTGAGAGAGAGAGAGGTGATGGAATGAGCCATGGCGTTCTGTGTGCTTTCGCTTTTCTGTTGGAACCCTCGACTGCATCGATGCGTGTGTGTAGGTGAGTAATTGTGTATCTGCGAATATGTTTACGTGTGTATGTGTGTGTGTGTTTGTGTGTACAAATGTGGGTGAGTAAGACAAATTTCGAAATATATTATTTTATTTGATAATGCTGATTGTGAATAAAGCGATCTCTCTCTCCTCTTCTTTTCCCTTTCCTTCTCTTTCTCCTTCTCCTCCCTCTCTCTCTCTTCCTTCTTCCCTTTCTCCCACACCTCTCTGACTTTCGCTTCCTCTCTGTTTGTCTGTCTGTCTTCACCCCCCTCTCTCTTTCTCTCAATTGGGGGGGCAAGGAATACCGTTACCCACGCTGACCACTCCTCGCAAGTGCAAACAGCAACACACGAATGCACAAACACAGATCTCGAAGTTGATGATCTTCAGTCAATGTCGTGTGTTGATTCTCCTTCTCTCACTTCTTCTTTATCTCACTCTCTTTCTGATTCTCGTCCACCTTCTCTTACCCTTCCTTTTCTCACTCTTTCTCTTTCGCTGTTTGATCGTGTTCTCTATCTTTTTCTCTTTCTGATCTCCCGAGCATATTCGAAAAGAAAGCAGACACAGAAAAACAGAAACAAAGAGAAAGTAGGAAAGGAGTGAGAAAGAGAAACAGATAAAGAATGGAGAATAACTATAATGGATTACTGATGCTACTAGTGATAGAATTAATATTACAATTGATGTCAGGGGAGGGAAATCTGTAGTATTTAAACCTTTCTGAAATCTTTCCGTAATGAAAATGTGATGGCCGAGTGGTTAGAGCATCGGATTCGGGTGTACCGGCTACAGGGGTTCGACTGTTCGAGTCCCGTCTGGTGACACTGGGCCATATTCTCACATGCATTAAGGCACCGTATCTCCTTAAGGCGCCTTAACTTACAGCCGAATGATCTTACGGTCCATACACAAGGCAAGGAATTCGCCATATTGGTGCGAGTGAAGGTGCCTCAGGTTAAGGCACGGGGAGAGCAGCCTTTAACGCTTTACGGCGGGCGGGAAATCAACTCTTCGCTTTCATAAAAGGGAAATGCAGCAGGACAGTTAAGGCCTCCAGCTTTAACTTAAGGCTTTCTTGAGAATTGTTTCCTCAGGCAAGAAACTTTACTTCAATTGCCTAGCAGGTCTTGGCTTTCCTCCCACGAGCTCCGGGCGTTCAGTGCTGCCGATGTAGGACGAACGCCTCAGGAAAGTCGCTCCTGCACAAACGATCCTGGGGCGGTTACGAGCGGCGGTTCGGTAGTTGGTCGTTCACTACAAGAATAGCGCAGTTTTGCATGCACTCCCTGCGGGCACTCGGTGGAAATTGATTTTGTCGGTCTCTATGACCCCTGTGGCAATGAATTTATAAATTACGAACTTGGCATATCTTTTTTACTATATATACAAACACACACACATACCGTCATCAAAGAAATATCTGGACGCAAAAGTTACTATAACCTGCCTGTATATATACATGTATATATATACATATACATGTATATATACATATACATATATATATGTATATGTATATTTATTCATGTATGTGCGCGCGCGCGTGTGTGTATGTGTACAGATATACATGCACACACACACATATAAAAGTATGTATAAATACACACACGCTTATATATGTATATGTATGTCTATGTATACATATGTATATATATGTATGCAGTATATATATATATATATATATATATATATATATATATATATATATATATATATATATTGTGTGTATAGGCCTATACACGCACACACATATATAAATGTGTGTGTGGGGGGGGGGGTTGTGTATATATATATATATAATATATATATATATATATATATATATACACATATATACATACATACATATACATGCCCTTTTGCTTAACAACGGAGGCGCTGGGCAATGAGGAGGAGGCATTTGTCCTTGGAACCCCTTTTACTATGAAAGCTCAAAGTGCTTCCATAGCTTTTCAGGTGTTTGTGAAAATACTAATGTTTTCTGTTTGGGTTATTTTGGTAAACTATCCACACCTTATCAATTCCGCAATTTACTCTTTATAAGGAATGTTCCGATTTTCAGAATCCGTTTTAGTCCAGAAGTAAGAATTCATAGAGTAAACGATTTTTTGATTTATATATCGTTCGATTTTAAGATGCTGATTGATTGTGGAATCAAAACAGCAAAAATCAGAGTATTCGCGTAAATAACAATGATACAGAATAGAACAGTAAAAATGTGAAAATATTTCAACACGCGTTTATTGAATCATATTAATCCCTTCCTTTCCTTTTCTTCATCCAACAGAATTTAATCGATCACAAGAAATGATAATGGGTAGCTACTCACTCTTTTCAGATGCCTTTCTTATTATATCATCTCTCTGGACTTGGTTATGCCTCATTGAAATCATCACCATTTTCCATTTTGAATCCAAGCCTTCTTTTAACATCACTGCCACGGCTGATGTGATGAGGGAATAATAAGACGACGGTCTACGAAAATAGCGTGCGTTTATTTACAAATATGACCCTTGCGTAAAATAAATAAAAAACAACTCAAAGTCAAGCAATCCGCCACTCAGAAGTGGGAATAAAACATCAGAGTAGCATGGTACAAAATACGAACACAAAAATAATATAATGAGACACGTCACTACACCCACTGAACGGAAGAGAGAGAGAGAGTGAGAGAGAGAAGAGAAGACTAGAAACCGAACGAAGCAGAGACCAAGAGAAGCGACAACGGCAGAAAGCAGAGCAAATGAGCGAGGTGTGAGTGCCGCTCAGCAGTGCTCGTCCACGAAAGCCACGGAGCGCAGACGGCGACGCTCAGCAGGAGGGAGCCAGCGGAGCACCAGAAGCCGTACAGTAGTAGGAGAGCGAGAAGGTGGTCGAAGAGTTGACGGAAGTCGAAGTAATAGTCTTGGTGGAGGAGGTGGTCGACCACACTGTGATGGCCAAACGCCCGTCCCTCGCGTTCAAGTCGTCCTCGTCGTCGGCAGCTCTTACTTCGCGCTCCAGCTCCTCCAGCTCTCCGACGGAATCGACCTGAGACCCGTCGAGGGACGAGGAACTGCGGGGGAGGAGGGAGGGGTTGGGGAGACGTAATGGACTAATGTAATGATAATAATGATGACTAATGTAAGGTGATAATGATGACAATGATGACTAATGCTAATGTAAGGGTGATGATGACTAATGTAAGGGTGATAATAATGATGACTAATGTAAGGGTGATAATAATGATGACTAATGTAAGGGTGATAATATAACTGATAATAATAATGATGTTGATAATGATGATAATAATAGTAATGATATTATTAATGGCAATGATAATAATCATAATAATAATAACGATAATGACATTAATAATGATGATAACAGATAACAGTGATGATAACGATACTGCTAATAATAATCATCAAAAAACAAAAAAATAATGATAAGTATATAATGATGATAGCACACTTATAATATGATAATGAAAAGCTACTACTAATGATAAATAATGATAAAATTAAGGATAATAGTAATAAGAATGATGAAAAAAATGATAATAACAGTATGATGATATATAATAATAATATCAATAACATAACAATAATAGTAATAAATGATAATAACAATATAGTAATAATGATAATACCATAATGATGATATTGATCGTAATGATAATGATAATGATAAAATAAAGAGGAGAGGAAAGAACAAAGAGAAAAAAATGAAAGCAAAAAAAAAAAAAAAACAAAAAAAAAAACAAACAAACGAAAAAAAACGAAAGAAAAAAAAAGTAAAACAAACAAACGAAAGAAAAACGAAAAAACTCACTCGAACTTCTCAGCGTCGATGTCGTCCATCTTGACAAATCGTCGAAGTCTCCTTCCACGACAGATCTGAGTGTTGAGGTCCCGATAACACGTGTAAGGCACCGTAGACGTCAGCGTGCTCATGACAATAGCGGTTCTCACGGTGAATTTGGCGAGTACGCGGAGGTCCTCGTCTTCCCGAGCTGACACTGTGAGGCGGAAGGATTGAAGGATTTAAGGAGGGATAGGAGGAAAGGAAGAAGCGAAAGGATGGAAGGGAATGAAGGGAGGAGGAAAGAGGGGAAAGGAGGAAAAAAGGAAGGGAAGAGGAGGGAAAGGGAGAGAAATGGAGGAATGAAGAAAGGAAGGAAGGAAGGGAAGAGAAAAGGAGGGAAGGAGGAAAAGAAGAGAAAAGTAGGGAAGTAGGTAGGAAGGAAGGGAAGAGAAAAGGAGGAATGGAGTAAGGAAGGAAATGAAGAGAAAGAAGGGAGGAAGGAAGGGAAGAGAAAAGAAAGGGGAAGGGAAAAGAAGGCGTAGGGAGAGGAGGAAGAGGAGGAGGGGAGGGGATGGAGAAGCAAAACGCAAGGCCGCATAGAGGAAGAAAGAACAGAGAGGCAGGAAGAAAAGGGAAAGAAAGAAGTAGTGACGAATCGAGGAGAAACGAAAGGAGGTAAAAAAAGAAAGAGAGAGAGAAACAGAAATTAATATTTCTCACAGCTAGACTAATCAGATACATCCTCATCAAAACTTCATCCTCCCACTAAGACCACGAAGTGAATCGAAGAGAAAAATATCTAATTACTCGGCAAAGAGTAGGAACCACAACTTACCTCCTGTGACAGCGAGGACGCCGAGCACCAAGATGAGCACCAGTCCCTTCATTCTGAGAGTAAAAGAAAAAGTTACAATTGCAGATAGAATGAACTTGCGGCCATGGAAATATATTATGTGTGCATGTATGTATACATATGTATACATATATGAATACATACATATATATGTATATAAATATGTATAGACAGACAGATAGATATGTATATATATATGTATATATATATATATATATATATGCATATACACATATATCTCTATATATGTATACATGTATACATATATACATATATATGTGCATATATATATATATTATATATATATAATATATATATATATATATGTATAGATAGATATACATATATATATATGTATATATATATCTACATCTATATCTATTTTCTATATATACATACGCATATATATATATAATATATATTATATATATATATATATTGTATATATATGCATATATATATACTATATATGTATATATGTGCATATCTATCTATCTCTATATACATATACATATATATATACATATATATACATATATACACACATATACCCATATATATATATATATATATATATATATATATATATATATATGCACACACATATGTGTATATATTACATATATATACATAAATATATATACATATACACATATATGTGTATGTACACACACACACACACACACACACACACACACACACACACACACACACACACACACATATATATATATATATATATATATATATATATATATAATCTTATGACTGAAACTCCCGTAAGATATGCCCTTACTAATGCCTGCATAAAAAGCATAAAAATCCGGGAAAAGCTTCTGTAATTTGACTTTTCATTATCTGATAATACAGAAAAGCAAGAAATAAAATTTTGAGATTGTATTTCATTCAATGTCTTTCTCTTTTTTCCCGTTTTAATGCAAATATTGGTCGGTAAGGAAATCTGAATGCCATATTCGATACGATGACTGATGTCTCACAGGTTAATCATTCCAACACACGCAAGCTAGTATCAGTAAGTGTAAGGGAAAAGGATGATAAACAAAATAATGGTAATAATGATGAAATGATCATTTTGTCTCCTTTTATCCTTCTAATATTCCTTCTATAACAAACGCATTACTTTTGTGTGTCGTTCCATTATTGCAGAAGCACAGTAGGGCCTTTTTAACAGTCCATAGTAAATGCTTGATCACACACACTGAAGTGTTTGAACGCACGCACTTATAATGTTTAAACACACGCTGATGAAAAAACACACAGGCAACACTCAAGACACGTGAGCAACAGACCTGAAACAACTTTGCTTGTTCGACACTTGTGGAGGGAAATGGACCTCCTCGTATATATATATAGGCCACATTTATGCAATAACATCCGACTGTTCGTACTGCAGGTTAACCCGAACGATTTCCTGCATTGAACCCTGAATAATTTCACTCGGTTTTCCTCCTCGAACCACACGGACGAAGTGAAAAATATCATTAGGAAGATGGTTTCCCAATTTTCTTTCCTGTTGGATATGACATGCAGGGCTCAGATGATGGGAGATGCTTTGTGTTTTGTGTGATTTGAATAGATAAAATAACTGATTCGTTCCTGGTGGATGATATTCGGAAATTGGCTTATGTGAGGGTGAAAAAGGGGGGATAAGAAGAGGGATGGGAGACCACTGGGGGGGGGTGTAAGGAGGAAAAGGGAGAAGATGGGGAGGGAGGGGAGAGGGAATGCAGGTCCTTGTCTCGTGTGCACTCCCTCAGAGCAGGTGAAGCCACGACCCTAGCAACAACTACAGTAGTGGCTCATAATATTTCTTCTTCATAGTGTAAACGATCTTGTGATTTATGTATCGTTCGATTTCCAGATGTTGATAGATTATGGAATCAAAACAGCAAAATCAGAGTATTGGCATAAATAACAATGATACAGAATAGAACAGTAAAAAGTGAAAACATTTAAAATGCGTTTATTGAATCATATTAATCCCCTTCCTTTCCTTTCTCTTCTTCATCCAACACATTTTAATCGATCACAAGAAAAATGATAATGGGTAGGTACTCAACTCTTTTCAAATGCTTTTCTTATTTTATCTTTCTCTCTAGATTTGATTATGCCTCACTGAAATCACCATTTTCCATTTTGAATGCAAGCCTTCTTTTAACATCACTGCCACGGCTGATGTGATGAGGGAATAATAAGACGACGGTCTACGAAAATAGCGTGCGTTTATTTACAAATATGACCCTTGCGTAAAATAAATAAAAACAACTCAAAGTCAAGCAATCCGCCACTCAGAAGTGGGAATAAAACATCAGAGTAGCATGGTACAAAATACGAACAGGAAAATAATATAATGAGACACGTCACTACACCCACTGAACGGAAGAGAGAAAGAGAGTGAGAGAGAGAAGAGAAGACTAGAAACCGAACGAAGCAGAGACCAAGAGAAGCGACAACGGCAGAGAGCAGAGCAAATAAGCGATGTGTGAGTGCCGCTCAGCAGTGCTCGTCCACGAAAGCCACGGAGCGCAGACGACGACGCTCAGCAGGAGGGAGCCAGCGGAGCACCAGAAGCCGTACAGTAGTAGGAGAGCGAGAAGGTGGTCGAAGAGTTGACGGAAGTCGAAGTAATAGTCTTGGTGGAGGAGGTGGTCGACCACACTGTGATGGCCAAACGCCCGTCCCTCGCGTTCAAGTCGTCCTCGTCGTCGGCAGCTCTTACTTCGCGCTCCAGCTCCTCCAGCTCTCCGACGGAATCGACCTGAGACCCGTCGAGGGACGAGGTACTGCGGGGGAGGAGGGAGGGGGGTTGGGGAGACGTAATGACGACTAATGTAAGGGTGATAATAATGATGACTAATGTAAGGGTGATAATAATGATGACATAATGATGACTAATGTAAGGGTGATAATGATGACTAATGTAAGGGTAATAATAATGATGACTAATATAAGGGTGATAATAATGATGACGATAATGATGACTAATGTAAGGGTGATAATGATGACTCATCTAAAGGTGATAATGATGATGATGACTGATAATAATAATGATGTTGATAATGATAACAATAGTAATGATAGCATTAATGACAATGATAATAATCATAATAATAATAACGATAATGACATTAATAATGATGGTAACAGATAACAGTGATGATAACGATACTGCTACTAATAATAATCATAAAAAAAACAAGAAAAATAATGATAAGTATAATAGTGATGATAGCACCACTAATAATCTTTATATGATAATGATAAAGCTACTACTAATGATAATAATAATAATAATAATAATAATAATAATGATAAAAAATAAGGATAATAGTAATACTATTGATGAAAAAAAATGATAACAGTAGTAATAATGATTATGATAATAATAATAATAATATCAATAACAATAACGATAACAGTAATAATGATAATAATGATGATAATAAAAATTATAGTAATAATACCAATACCAATAATGATAACATTGCTCTTAATGACAATAATGATATTGATCGTAATGATAATAATGTGATAATGATAAAATAAAAGAGGGGAGAAAAGAGCAAAGAGACAAAAAACATGAAAGCAAAAACTGAGAGATAAAAAAAAAGTAACAAACAAACGAAAGAAAAACGAAAAAACTCACTCGAACTTCTCAGCGTCGATGTCGTCCATCTTGACAAATCGTCGAAGTCTCCTTCCACGACAGATCTGAGTGTTGAGGTCCCGATAACACGTGTAAGGCACCGTAGACGTCAGCGTGCTCATGACAATAGCGGTTCTCACGGTGAATTTGGCGAGTACGCGGAGGTCCTCGTCTTCCCGAGCTGACACTGTGAGGCGGAAGGATTGAAGGATTTAAGGAGGGATAGGAGGAAAGGAAGAAGCGAAAGGATGGAAGGGAA